TAATAACATTGTATAATGGCCGATAGTATTGTAAAGTCATAACTTTAATTTTTACTAAATCGAATCTCTTTTACCTGTTTACCTTCCTCGCACCGAATAAAAAGCCATTCGACAAGTAATAAAATCGTCGATGCTCCTTCACTAATCTAAATGTACACGAAATTTAGCTCTGAAGACAATCGCACAGGTTGCTCTCGTGCTTACCGCATACATATCGAATATGTATCAGTGAAAAAACAAAATAAAGAAGAAAGTTGTTAATAATACAAAATAAGGTACCTGAGCATTATTGCAAAGATACTGTAAATAAAGGACAGAAAAATATAGAAAAAAGTAATTTAATTATCAATGATTCAGAATTTTATGAATAATGAGATTTTTCTTTTCTTTTTTTTTTTTATTTTTATTAATATTATCTAGAGTACAACGAATAGCAAAATTTTAAATCCTATTCAGATCGACATACAGATACAAATCATAAAAGAATTAATATGAAAATCATTTATTCCGAAAAATAAATGAAATAGATTTTGCAAAGAAAAATACCGTACCACTACTTAATTACTTAGTAATAAATGTGTCAGATATAAAAAGATTATTAAGTGCTAAAAAGTAGTCGATCGTGCTATGTGCAATATAAACAGAAAAGTAAAAATATTATTTATGTCGAATTCATTCGTGAACTGCGACTAACGCAAAAAACCAACGTGATTTCTACAATCATATACGCTATCTTTGCAAAATAGACACAGAGAGCACATATATTATGAAACATCTAGGCGAAATATAATAGGCTAATACTGTATATGAGAAAAATTAGGAAGGGAAGAGAGATGAAAATAGTAAATGAGAGATAGAGAGAGAGAGAGAGAGAAAGAGAGATAGAGAGAGAGAAAGTGAAAGTTCACGAAGCGCGTGCAAGTGACATAATGTACATATATTATCCGAAATGCTCTGGCGGACGAAGTGCTTAACACCTGCTTAAGTCGTCTCTTTTTCTTGCTTTCTTCTTAAATACAAATCTGCATGCGACATTTTCCACCTGTATATAATTGTATACACATAGCGATTGCGTAGCGGAGTCTCAGCTTCCCTTCCAATGCAATACCGCAAGATCAAATATAGCATAGAACAGATCGAGTTCGTCGACATGATATATGCCGCTCGATGTTTCACGTATCCACGAAAGATGATCGTCCAGTTGTACTTATTTTGTCACTCGTCTAGTTACCTACGTATGTGTGCATTTTCATCTGCCGCCTACCAGATTTATCACATTTATTCGAAATAAAATCGCTCCAAAAATGCAACAATTATCGTCATCATCCGCGAAAACGACGACCAAGCAATTTTCGTGTTCCTCAACAGCCAAATGTTACGCTTCTAAT